TTTCCGGGTACAGAAGTTAAGCTGACTGGTCTGTAATTCCCAGGGTTGTCCTTATTTCCCTTTTTATTGATGGGCACTATATTTACCCTTTTCCAGTCTTCTGGAATCTCCCCGTCTTCCATGACTTCTCAAAGATAATCCCTAATGGCTCAGATATCTCCTCAGTCAGCTCCTTGAGTATTCTAGGATGCATTTCATCAGGCCCTGGTGACTTGAAGACATCTAATTTGTCCAATTAATTTTTAACTTGTTCTTTCCCTATTTTAGCCTCTTCTGATCCTACCTCATTTTCACTGGCATTCACTACCTTAGACATCCAATCATCATCAACCGTCTTGGTGAAAACCAAAACAAAAAAGTCATTAAGCATGTCTGCCATTTCCACATTTTCTGTTATTCTCCCCGTCCCACATTAAGTAGTGGGCCTACCCTGTCCTTGGTCTTCCTCTTCCTTCTAATGTATTTGTAGAATGTTTGCTTGGTACCCTTTTATGTCTCTAGCTAATTTGATCTTGTTTTGTGGCTTGGCCTTTCTAATTTTGTCTCTACATACTTGTGTTATTTGTTTATATTCATCCTTTGTAATTTGACCTAGATTTCACTTTTTGTAGGACTCTTTTTTTATTTTTAGATCATTGAAGATTGCCTGGTTAAGCCAGTATGGTCTCTTGCCATACTTCCTATCTTTCCTACACAGTGGGATAGTTTGCCCTTGTGCCCTTAATAATGTCTCTTTGAAAAATTGCCAACTGTCTTCTGTTGGTTTTTCCCTTAGATTTGCTTCCCATGGGATCTTACCTACCAACTCCCTGAGTTTGCTAAAGTCTGCCTTCTTGAAATCCATTTTCTTTATTTTGCTGTTCTCTCTCCGACCATTCCTTAGAATCATGAACTCTACCCTTTCATGATCACTTTCACCCAAGCTGCCTTCCACTTTCAAATTCTCAACCAGTTCCTCCCTATTTGTCAAAATAAAATCTAGAATAGCCTCTCTCCTGGTAGCTGTCTCCACCTTCTGAAATAAAAAATTGTCTCCAATACATTCCAAGAACTTGTTGGATAATCTGTGCCTTGTTATGTTGTTTTCCCAACAGATGTCTGGGTAGTTGAAGTCCCCCATCACCATCAAGTCCTGCGCTTTGGATGATTTTTTTAGTTGTTTAAAAAAAGCCTCATTCACCTCTTCTTCCTGGCTAGGTGGTCTGTAGTACACCCCTACCATGACACCACCCTTGTTTTTTACCCCTTTTATCCTTACCCAGAGACTTTCAACAAGTCTGTCTCTTATTTCCATCTCAATCTCAGTCCAAGTGTATACATTTTTAATATATAAGGCAACACCTCCTCCCTTTTTTCCCTGCTGGTCCTTTTTTCCCTGCCATCTTCTAATGGTTGGGGCAACTTTCCGCTTCTGTTTTCCCCATCTGTAAAATTAGGATAATAATGCTCCTCTTGCAAGGATGTTGTGAAGGCTAATGTTTGAGGTGCTTTGAAAAACAAGTGCTTCAGAATTTTCAAAATATTGAACCAGTCTATTTTAAAGCATTTTAAGACCCCCATACACTTTTCCATCCATTTCAAAATGTGTCCTTTCCAGTTTCTGTAGTGAAATTGAGAACTTTTATTTGTAATTTTTACATGAACATTTCAGTTATTTTTTCCCCTTGTGCCTCATGACTCTTTTTATTTAAATATATTTAATGTCTCCCCCGACTCTTTCTCCAGAATCAAAAGCTTAGCTTACATAGTGGGATATATTTTCATCCTGGTGCCTGGGAAATGAGTTGGGCAACTATCTTTGTAGCTAACAAGAATTGTGCCAGCCACCTTACTCCCTCCACATATGATGAGAATGTGCCCTGGCACAAACAGTATTCTGTTATTGGTGCGGGGGAAAATACTGGCACTTAAAATTTTTATATGAAACATTTCTTCTTACTGTATGCACAATAAAAAGTGAAATTGAAGTCAGTTTAATTAATCCAGGCTGCAGATGATCATTGACTTGGCTTGAAATCCAATCCTCTTACTCATAAATTGCTTACTCAAGTCCAGGAGTGGAATGCAGGGCAGTGCATAGAATCATGGAATATCAGGGTTGGAAGGGACCTTAGGAGGTCATCTAGTCCACCCCCTGCTCAAAGCAGGACCTAATCCCCAACTAAATCATCTAGTTCTGCAGGCTGTTTGCATGGAGCATTATGCTGCGTGTTGGCATTGTGTGCTGAGATCTATTGTCCCCATGATCTCACACTTCCCTATTTGGCATGAAGGCAACTGCAGTCCATTTCATTCAAATTAGGTGTGGCCCTTCATGGTTTGAGAAAACTGCCAGTGTGGCCTTTTCTCATTATTGGAGACAGTGTGGCTTTATGGATTGACTGCACACGGGTAGCTAAAACAGCTGCATTTGTACTTTGGTTCTGCAATTGAATCACTAGCATGAGGCCCTGGTAAAGTTCAGTGACATTTGACAGGAACTGAATCAAAAGAGTTCTATAGAAATTATTATTTTAAAATGATCTTCATTACATTCTGTAGGATTTTAAACCAATTTACAGAATTTTATAGCAGGGATATATAATTCCCTTCGTTCTATCAGAAGTTTACTTTAAAATATTTTTACACAAAACTTACTACTTTCTAGTTAAGTCCCTTAGGACGACTTCTCCTAATATTCAACTGTGGGAGCCAAAAGTTAAAATACATGAAAATGACCCAGTTTTCAGAAGGAGGCACAGATGCTTTTTATGATTGGTTAGTCTAATTTTATGACTGATTTCAATCGTAGCTGTTAAGCAAAGGCTGAGCATGTTTGAAATTCCCACCTTAAGTGCCTAGCCTTTGGCACCTAGATATGGAAGAGTTTGGTCGTAACATGTCTGCTTCACCTTCCCCGTCTGTAAAACAAGTTATACTTTCCTTCCTCTATAGGGCCTTAAAAGGATGAAGCAGTTAACGTTTGTACAGCACTTTTAAAATGTAAGATATTACATAAATGTTATATGCGATTAATATCTGCTGCACTTTTTCATCTTCTCTCTTAAAGAGGATAAAGGTTGTTTTCTAGAATCAATGCCTTCATTGTAATTCCTTTCTTGATTTGTCCATTTGTCATTTTCCATCACTCCCAAATCTGGAATGAAGGGAGAGCTTGACTTGATGTACATCTGTTCACTTTGCATGCAATTAACAAACAATTAAGAAAAAGCACAATCATGGCAAGCTAGCACAAAATCGAAACTGTGGAAAAATCTTTTGCCAAAAATGTGTTTGCATCATTCATATAAACAAGCAAGCTTGCAGTGACAGACCTTTTTTCTTTAAAGGGATACTGTCAAGGTTTACAGACTCCAAATTAACCATCTTTCCTTCCTCCCCTTACTCCTACTCCAGTGGTAGTCTAGCTTCTTCAAAACATATCCTTTGTATGGTAAATCTCCTGAAATACAGCGGTCCACTATTTCACTGGCTGTCCAGAACCACTAACCCAGGAACTTATCCTTGCAACAAAGCCCGTTGCCAATTGTGCCCACATATCTATTCAGGGGACACCATCACAGGGCCTAATAACATCAGCCACACTATCAGAGGCTTGTTCACCTGCACATCCACCAATGTGATATATGCCATCATGTGCCAGCAATGCCCCTCTGCCATGTACATTGGTCAAACTGGACAGTCTCTACGTAAAAGAATAAATGGACACAAATCAGATGTCAAGAATTATAACATTCATAAACCAGTCGGAGAACACTTCAATCTCTCTGGTCACGCAATCACAGACATGAAGGTTGCTATCTTAAAACAAAAAAACTTCAAATCCAGACTCCAGCGAGAAACTGCTGAATTGGAATTCATTTGCAAATTGGATACTATTAATTTAGGCTTAAATAGAGACTGGGAGTGGCTAAGTCATTATGCCTGTTTCCTCTTGTTTTTTCCTACCCCCCCCCCCCCCCCAGATGTTCTGGTTTAACTTGGATTTAAACTTGGAGAGTGGTCAGTTTGGATGAGCTATTACCAGCAGGAGAGTGAGTTTGTGTGTGTATGGGGGTGGGGGGGATGTGAGAAAACCTGGATTTATGCAGGAAATAGCCCGACTTGATTATGTAAAGAGTTGTCACTTTGGATGGGCTAGCACCAGCAGGAGAGTGAATTTGTGTGGGGGGGTGGAGGGTGAGAAAACCTGGATTTGTGCTGGAAATGGCCCACCTGTTGATCACTTTAGATAAGCTGTTACCAGCAGGACAGTGGGGTGGGAGGAGGTATTGTTTCATATTCTCTATGTATATATAAAGTCTGCTGCAGTTTCCACGGTATGCATCTGATGAAGTGAGCTGTAGCTCACGAAAGCTCATGCTCAAATAAATTGGTTGGTCTCTAAGGTGCCACAAGTACTCCTTTTCTTTTTGCGAATACAGACTAACACGGCTGTTCCTCTGAAACCTGTCCTGTCTTTGTCCTTCAGTCTGCCATTGTTTGACTGGCAGGTATTAGTATTATAGAAAGCTAAGTTGAACTTTCATTATTCTGTTGCCAGTGTGTATCCCATATAACCAGTATAAAAAGAAGGACCACACTGGAGAAGATCTAGGGTGCAGTGGAGCCTTTTGTCCCATTCCACTTACTTTATTATCTTTAACAGTTAGCTGGTCGCTAAGTAGTTTAAAGCCAAAACCAGAGGGGTAGCTGTGTTAGTCTGTATTCACAAAAACAACGAGGAGTCCGGTGGCACCTTAAGACTAACAGATTTATTTGGGCATAAGCTTTCATTGCATTGTATTTAAACTTCAGTGAATATAGACTTTGTTTGGATATAACATTTCACCATAGGGCTGACAACCCAAAAAATAAAATTTCGCTAGTATTTGAAGATAAGAAAGTGAAACTAACTACTTCATTAATGGTGAGAAGTTCAAACTCCTTTTGGAACTCAAACTCCTGTTGAAACTCAAACAGACTTTTTTAATACGATTTTTTTTTTTTTTACTTGACAGTGCCCCTTTAAGACTGAATGGTGTTTCAAGTGGGACGTAACTGGGGAAGAAGTTTTCAGTGTTCTGCTTCGGACTGTTTTCCTGAAGGTTTGTGAAATGAATTCTCCTAGTGCAAGTTAAGACTACAGCATCATGGCTTTACTTGGGAAAAATTCATATATGACCTCTGGTAGCTTTACCTGATTAAAGAAAACAGAATTAGGATCCTTTGCAAATATTAACATCAGGGAGTTTTAGGGCTCTTTAAGACATCTGTGATTTAATCTCTTTCACATTACCTACTCTAGCTCTGGCTCGAGCCAGATGAAAATAGAAAAGTATTAAGAATGAGTCTTTAGAGGGCAAAAATCAATCTCATTTGGCCAAGAGTGAGAACAGGCACTACGAGCTGGGCTTATAGATGTCATTTATACACGCAATGGCAGTCCTTAGGTTTTTTTATATCTAAGTATCAAAGGCACACTTTTATTATGTCTTTCAAAAGTCATTTTTGGATTTTTTGTTGTTGTTCTGTGGGTGAAGTGGGGGGAAAAATGAAATCTCAAGAACCAATTCAATTTAATTCAGGGATTGCAACTGCAGATGAAACGTTATAGCCTTTTCTTTAGGAAAGGAAATGGTCCTGTCAGATTAGAGGCTATTGAATCCTTATGCTAATTGCAAGAGCATTTATGTGCACAGTCTAGTAATTATCTGTAATTTTAAGGAAGACAGATGTAGCATTAGCTTCTGATTTAGATAACAGCCTTATTAATTTTCAAGTGAGCAGCAGAAGCAGCAGATGGTGAGATGAGGGAAGTAGTCAAATGTTTGCCATTGATAGCTCTTACTTTTGTGTAATAAATTTGGCTGGTGATTGGCTAAGCCAGCAGGGTCCTGATTGCTATCAGGACTCCAACCAGCTGGGTCCTTCCTGGGGCTGTTTTCAGAAGGCTGGTGCATGCTAATGTGTGTACTGCTGAGGACATGACAAGTATTGTTTTAGTTGTGATGCCATGGGATGGCTTTTTATGTAAGTAGACACACTGATAATACTCTGAGACCAACAGATCCAAGGCTTCCTCAGTGAGATTCTTTGGTCCATGAAAAGCAAAACATGCAAACAAAAAATCTTCACCTGTTACAAACTGAGCCACTTCTTTAAAAATCAGTAAGGTGTGGGGATTTTTGCATGTGAGATGTTGGTGGAAGCGTATCTGGCAGTACTGACCCTTTAATGTTACTTGGGATTATAGGAAGAACTGCTCAGTCATGAGCGGCACCTTTTAGTCAGTTATTGTTGAGCTTGCTATTCAGGAAATGATCCAGCGAGTTAAGGTACTAGACAGGTGGCACGCATGATTCCTGGTGAGGATCTTGTTAATCTGCAGAGAGCCCCTCCACCACTGATAAATTGGTGATTGGTCAAAGATGGGGCATGCAGGTGGTGGGAATTGCACACTGCCTGAGCTGTGATCATTCTGTGGATGAGGAGAGGACTCCTTCACCAGGGCCGTCATTCTGGCACTTTTCACAAAACTAAATTGACTCCAGTGGGGTCCCTCTTAGTGAATGCATTCAAAATCACGTTAACCTACCTACATGAGAGTACAGCTTGGTGAATGTATGTAACAAAGTCAGAGGATACCACGTACGGACTTGTGTGTTGCAGCATATAGATGTTTCTTTTACAGTAATGACAGTTGAAGTGCTGCATGCATAATTTTCAGTCAGTTCTGGCAGCACTGAATCTTTGGACATATTTCTGCAGTGTTATGAAACATTGTACCACTGGAGAATAATTTGCAAGATTGGAAAGGACCAGCTTTAAGTAAGCAGGGATCAGACACAACTGGCAGGTCAGTTTCCTTAATTATAGTAGACTACTGGACATTAAATGATGAGGTCACTGTTTCCTGACAGCTGACTTATATCTCTCATGTTCTGCTTCTGGCGGGAAGAACACGAATCCAGCTATTTGTGTATTTTTCTCCTTTTGCCCATAAGTGAAATTACCAAGTATTAAATGTCAATAATTAAAATAACAAACCACTAATTTTCTTCAAACCTGGCTTGATTTTTATTCAGTCGAGCTATTTAAGTGAGCAGGGACTGGAAAAGGGTTTGCAGAGTCTAACCCAAAGGTTGGGAAGAAAAACAGATGCAAGATCAGATTGGGCACAACTGTTAGAGCAGGGAGAGTGTGGAGATCATTGTGGAAAGGAGTGCTGAAAGAAGTGTGTTTAAGGAGGTATTTCAAGGGGGCAGGGAAGAGAAGATGTTTGGCAGAGAAGAGGAAGACTTGCCAAGCATATGGAGCAGCATGACAGAATGCAGGGAGCTTAGAGAATAATAAGGTGAAGGAAATGGATAGAATGTAGAGAGTGGAAGAGGAGCAGGGGGAAATGAAAACAATGGGGTCAGATTTTATGTAGGATTTTGTAGAGGAGAATATAAGGCTTGAAATGGATATTGTAAGAGACAAGAACCCAATGAACTGATTCAGACAGGGGAGGAGAGGTGGATGGAGTAGTAAGAGAGGAAGATGATTTTACCATTGGCATCTAGTGTTTTTGTGTTCGCATTTAGACAAATTTGATTTAATTTTTCATTCTTGATGCTCAATTCAAATGACATCTATATATCGTTAAAATAGTAGATCAGATTCTCATCTGGTGTGAATTAGGTTAGTGCCATTGAAATCAATGAAACTATGGCGATTTATACCAGATGAGGTTCTGGAGCATCACATTTAATTAACAGATATGATAAGATGACACACTTTTTATGCAGTTCTGATGACTATTTGTTCACTCACAATCTGCCTGTATAGTGTATAAATATATTTGAGTGGGCTTTTTGTTGGTTGGGTAGGTTGTTTTTTTTCAGTCCATAGTCCAAGCTTCATGTTCAGGAAGGCTGCAGTAATTTTTGAAAATGTTTTAAAACAGATTTTTAAGGATGTGCATTTTTTTCAGCTAACTCTTCCCTCTGAAAACCAGTACTCTTCAAGAACATTTTGACAACCAAAAACTAAAATTGTATTCAGCCTTGGTGAATTAAAAGCTTAATTTGTTCACACAATATAGCAACACATATTTATGCTTCATAAAGTTTTGGAGGTTCCACCCCTGAGTACAACATTGTAAATATGACTAATTAAAGCAATATAGCACTTACATGATTTTTCAAGATCCATATTATAATTTTTGTTAAGCGGAGAAGCCTGATTGGATAGATCTTCAGCCAGCCACATGTTGTTATAACTTAAAGCAATAAAATAAAAATCCAACAGACAGAAAAATCACGGGCAGATTTCCGCTGAATTTCTGTATATGAGCACATTGCAGATAAAATTGCAGCTGTTGTCCATTAAATTCTCTCTGAGAATAGCTGCTGGCATGCTCTGTCCTGCCTTCAGTGTACTGTAGAGAACCCAGTTGAAAAGCAGGTTCAGAACATCTCTCATATTTCCCTTACATGCATGCAATATGCCACAAAATGCTGAAGTCACTTTTTCCTTTTGAAATCTATCATAGAATCATAGATCTAACCTCTCTGTAACACTGTTTACTGTCTTGATAGAGTTGGGCATAGGAATTACTGTGTAGGACTTTTCACATATTTTTGATTCACCTATACAATCTTTCGGATTGCCTGTTTTGGCCCTTGTGTCTCAGCATAGATGTAAATGTGCTACTGAGAGTACTATTTCCAGTTACGATGATGATATTTGAAAATTTAGGAGTTTTTTGGGTCTGAGTAAATAACACTTAAGTGTCTACATGCACTCATGACTTTTTGTCGTCTAAGAGAATATGTATTTAAGTGAGAAAGTCTCCTTGTTCATTTTAAAGACCTTAATATGAATTTATTTGATAAAATATCATTTGCCATTGACCTCAGTGGATCCGGGATTTCACCAGTGTCTCCTAAGGAGCCCTTCTTTTCTAATCACTATATAATATGCATTTTCAAAACTGTCATTTGTCCTATTTTTGTAAGAAATTTCAAAATATAGTTTAGACCCTTGGGGCTAGCTTTTCAATGGGTTTCTAAAAATGCACTTGTAAAGTGTACATGTTCATCAGTTTTTTGTGTGTGAGCAAATAGCTGCAATTGCAAGCACATTTTTAGAGCTTAGTCTTTGGTCTTGAGGATTTGGCCCAGGGAATTTCAAAGTCAATAATGAGGGTCCATCCTTGGTTTATGCCTTTGTGCCTAGACATTATATCTGATGTGGACTTATTTTTAGGTTTCGGGATTGACCCAAACCTCGTAGAGAGCTGACACTACATCCATGCTGCCAGAGTTCCTGTTCCTCTCCAGTCCATTGTGCTACCAGCACAGTGGATCTCTAAAGTAAAGCTTTCTAAACTATTTGGTCTTAGTTTAATGCCATGTGGTATGCACCCCGCACAAACTGTCTTAGAAGAGTGGCTGGGCTCTGAGTTACTGCACATACTTCGTTTCACTTCCTTTGCTTTGTCTCCGTAGATTGTAAAATGTATCTTAATGCAAATTTTGGTAATTTGCACTGTCCAAGCCCCACATTGATGCTGTTCATAACCAGGAGGAGAGAAAAAAGAAACCACGAGGGACAACTGGTTAGGGTAGAGGTTCTCAAACTTTTTTACTGGTGACCCCTTTCACACAGCAAGTCTCTGAGTGGGTTTTGCTTTGTGGTTCTGCATCCAGTCTTTCTTGTATATGGCTATGGAGAGGGTTCTTGCATCCAGTAATGCTTGATTTCCCAGAATCCTGCTCCCTACCTTACTCGGTAGAACTGCAGCAGCTCCGCTGCCAGGAGATCCCTCTGTGTGTCCCTTTGTGTGTACTCCAGTGCATGCTATATGGGACTACATCTTAAATCCACCTGGACACTGTAGCTGGTGCAGAACTCAGTGGCCCACTTGTTAAGTTGGGCATATCTTTTTTGCAAGCACATTAAACCAATTCTCAGTGATTTGCACTGGTTGTGTCTTAGTTTTGGAGTTGATTTTAAGCTGTTGGTTTAGATCTGTAATACCATAAATGCTCTGGGTCGTACCAATCTAAAAGACCCAAAATGCAACTTTTGACCTTAATCTTTGGAAACTTTTGACCTT